GCTGGATTGTATTTAGTAATCCCCAAGTAAAAGGTTAAGACGGCTGGTTCACAATATCCACTGAAATCTTGCAAACAGTTATACAAACAGACTCTAATGCTATTAAAACAACATGATGTTACTATTCAGTCCCTTAAAACTATGTAATTAAAATTACAAAATAAGCACATGAGATATCAACTGACGTCTAATTTCCATTTCTTAATGCCTGATATTTTTACACGCACTCACACCATCTGTTTTGGTGTTTTTTTTTTTAATTTGATGCACAGCAACCAGTCAAGTTAATTAATGCATGTCAATTACTGATTGCTTTCTGTTGCTTAATCAGATGCTTATGCGCCTAATTAAAACTGTAGCATTTTGAATGGAAATGTATCAACACAGCTTAGCTCCAATGTGTTTAAATGTGAATGAAAAGTTTCTAAATTAAATACATGTCAGGATGGTAAACAGGGGGAAAATACACAGAAGTGCCTCTAAACTGTCCTGAGGACTTCTGCTCCCAGCCCTTCATGAGTTCTGGCCTCTTGGGCCACTTGGCTCCCAGTCCCACATCAGCTGTGTCCCCATCCCCCAGCCTCACCCCTGCTTCTACTGCAGATCTTCACTCCCCTCAACTAGGCGAGGGGGTTGACACTGCAGCCCTTAAAGCATCTGTGTTAATCTGGTCTTGCTGATACTGTCTCACATACCGGGGCTATTTAGATTTCAGGGAACGATTTGCCAGAGTTACTGACTCTGGGAGGTGGGAGAGAGGAGAGGCTGAGAGGGAGTTTGCTCCCCACACTCTGTAGGGCCATGTTCAACCCTGGTAGCCTCCATGTTACCTCATCCTCCACCCTCCCCCATGTGTGTCTGCTCATGTGTCACCTTCTGATCATAATGCCACTGGCCTCAGCAGAGCTCCCAGACAGGAGCTACATCCCAATGGGGTTAAAGTGGAGAGCACGTGTCAGGGACTGAGGGTGAAATACGTCACAGGGAGGGTGTAATTATTCTTAGAGCAAGCATTACAGTCCAGGAAGTGAAAGAATTAAAGTACTTCATTACTTAAAAGTACGGTTGAAAGGATTGGATTTTTATCAGTAAATCTCAGTAAATGTCAATTATACTGCACATGCAAACGCACACAGATGAAAAAAATTGATATAGGCAAAATGACAAAAATGCTTCTGGAGGAAGTTGAGTTTGATTGAAGGATATTTACACTGTATATTTTGCATGTGACATAGACAATTTCTGTTTGAACCGTTCTAAAGATCTAGCTTTTTTGAATCTCAACATGTAATTACATAATTATTGTCTGACCACCCCCATAACTGCCCACAGCTCTGAACACTGAAATTGGAGAAAGGGCTTAAAAATAGACATAGATATCATCTGTTGAAATTATTAATAAAAAAATAGACTAAATGGATTCAGCCAAGCCTACCGAACAGCAATCGCAATATGCTAGGGGATGGAAATTCACAGCTAAGGCACCCAACCTTAATTCTGCCCGGTAGTGACACTAGACAATCGCCATAGGGCTACAAATAAGGCATTTTACTGTATAAAGTTCCAGATTAGATTATACCAATTTGTAAAGACACACGAGATCTTTCCCTCAGGGTATCAACTTCACTGGGTTCTTTCTTTTATTGGTAATTCCCAGAAGTCAATAGATCAATAACATTCTATCAGTTATGAAGTGGCCGTTTCAGATTTCTGGGGTGTGTCTGTAATTTTGCACTAGGGGCCAGGTCCTTGTGAGACGGAGCCTTGGTTTCATTTTAACTTGTGCATGCTCAGTGGCTTCCAGAATTTGGTTTAAAGTAGTTCCATGTTTCCCTGGCCTGTTCTTAAAGGAGCTGCTATAGAAAGAGGGGAGTGGCAGAAACTCCCTGTAGGATCAGTAGCTGAGTCCCTTAGATATTTATAGCTCATCGGAAGAAGGACGGGGATTGGTGGGTGTCTGGGGATTTAATAATAAACACACAAATATCATCCTTCTTAATGAATTTTCCTCTTCTAATTCCCATAACCCACTAATTATCCCTGGCTGCCCCGGGGAGTCTGGGGAGGAAGTACTAGTAACCTCCTTTGGCCAGTGTGGAACCTAAGGCACAAGGATCTTTCACATCCCAGGGTGGGGAAGGACCCTCTGGGGCTGGCGGCAGTCTCCTCTTGCTGCTGAGAGAGGAATGGGGTGGTCCCTCATATAGAACACATACACACCCATGGGCAGATGGGAAATGTTGTTTCCTCCAGGGGATTGAAACTGTTTGGTTTAGAGTCCTGAGCTCTGTCTTCCTGCTTGTCTCCTTCTGCCACTTTCAGATCTCTTGGAGAGACAAGGTGGGTGAGGTCATTTCTTTTAGGACCCATTGAAAAAAAATATTCCTTTTCTTTAATATCCTGGGACCAACATGGCTACAACAACTTTCAGTCTCACTCCTTGTCTCTTTGTACCTCCTTCCCCTGTCACCTCCCTCTCAGCTGGGACTGCCTCATATGATGGGGAAATTAGGGTTCACTCCTGGAGCTGGATTAGGTCCCCCCAACGCTAACGGGAGTGGAAGCCGGGGTGTGTCAGAGGCAGCAGCAGCTCTGGGATTCGGAGATGCATAGGGAGAAGAGATGGGAGTGGGGAGGGGATGTTTGTGCAGGGTGTGAGTTCTTGGTAAAATGCAGGATACCACTGCCTCCATTGTGATCTGGGAGTCTGGATTGAGCAGCTGTTGCTCCCCGATAGGGTCATTTTATTCACTATTTCTCTTATCTCCTGCACTGATTTTTGTCCCTTTTCTCTGTAAAGCTCCAATGTTTGTTTAAAACCTCCTCAGATTTAGGGCGTTTCCCACCCATTTTATCTGCAGGATTTGTCCTTGCTTGGGTGGGAAATTGTTGCCCTGAGCTATTCCCCAATGGGAAGAGAGTTAGCGGGTGCCACTTGGGACAACCCAGAGACCTGGCTGCCTCTGGGATTGGGAGCAAGGTGGCTGTTCTCTGCCAGCAACCGAGTGTGGAAGGGGCACAGGAGGAGCATGTGTCCCCCATGGAGACTGCCCAGCCCCAGCTGCTTCTACCCACCGAGCATGACCCAAATCTCTTCACCCCTCCAACTGCCAACCTTCCCTCACTGCTACCCCATCCTGACTGGCAGAGAACCTCTAAGCTCTATCCCCTTCTCTTTGCCTCTGAAAGTTGCCTTGCCCAGGGCTTTGCTGCCTGTGTGAATGGCAGGTAGGGATGGGGAGCCATCACTTTCTGGGTATTTACTGAACATTCATCTAGTCCCTGACACCTTCATTAATGCAGAGGTAAGGTTGCCCAGCAGTATGTTGGGCCCTGCCAGAATGTGGAGTTCAGCAAAACTCAAACCTCCAAAAACTAGGCAATACAGAGCTAATATGCATGCCAATGCAACCTTAACTCTGCCCCCTGGAGCTGGCAACAGCCACTGGGCGGTATCCGCCTGATCTCATGGTACTAGGTGTAGCTGCACTGATCGGGAGAAGTGTTAGTGAGAGCAACGTGGTGGAGGTATGATAGTCATATAAGGAGAGCCGGGTCTGAGTGCCCCATGTGTGTGATGAAAGGAAAGGTGCGCATGTGTACCTGGTGCAGAAATGAACCTGGAACTGCCGAGCTGGGCATGTTGCTCGCAAGAAGCAAGGGACTTTTTCCTCCTAAAGGGGGCGCTCCACCACGTACAGACTTGTGACCTTGCCAGGATGGACTCAGCACCCCCAGCCTTGGCTTCTGCTATTACTGCCACATCTTGGTCAGGATCCCTGTTACTGGGAGGGTTTCACCATGTGTCAGAGGGTTACACCCTGGTGGGAGGGGGCTAGGCCTGTACTGGAATAAGGTCACTCTGTGCTTCACAGTGTGGCAGAACCTAGAATGTCCATTAGCAGGGAAAAATCTGGGGGGAATCGGCTTGTGGAATGGACAAAAACCCCATCTGAATTCTCTCACATTGTCCTTCTCATCCTGGCAGGCTACAGAATAATGTCCATGTTTCGCTCCAGATCATCCCCTCCTCCCAGGGGGAAGGAAATGGCTGCAGTGGAGCTGGCTCAGGTAAGGGATTATCAGGGAGCTGGTGGTGGGTTCTGCTTGGATGGAGAGGAGCCGTAAATGCATAGGAAGGTGGGAGCTTCTAGAGGTGCTGGGAGGCAGGAAATATCTCGGGTGCAGGAAGGAAGGGGACAGGATGTGACAAACCTGCTGAGACTTGTGTAATCTGGGGTCTACTTTTAAGGAATAGGAGTGGAACTTCCCCTCTTTGTGGAAGAGGAAATAACCCCTCAGCCAAGGCTGGGAAAACTTCCCAGATTCCCAGTGCTGGAGCCTGAATCTATCAGTTAGCCAGTTTTTAATCTATTTAATGTATGCCGTGTTTATTTTGTATCATTCTAGTTTTTTTAATCAAAATATTGTACTGAACCAAGTGAGGTGTCTTACAGAAGTCTCAGTATATTAAATCAATACTCTTAGCTTTATCTGTTACCTGGGGTTTTTCAGAAACTTAAAGCAATTCTGTCTGATCAAGGAGTAATGCAAGTAAGCGTGCTCGTGTCTAACACTGCAATGTTTAGATTTAAGCACACACAGATAAACAATAGATTTAGAACATCCCAGGTATTTACCTAAATTCTGGGACAGTATTGAGTAATCAACGACGGGTCAGTGCTGGCCAAATGCCTCCCTGCCAGGGAGTAAAGATGACAGGAAAGATTTCTCTTCAAGGATAGCTCCAGATGACTGCTCCAAAGTACACTCTATTATCTAAACTTCTTATAGCTGACTTCTACAAGACATATAGGTCATAATGACCCCTACTGGCTCATCACTTCTCCTAACTTTCAATAAACTTCTAATATCAGAGGCGTCTACACTCAAGGTTTTCATCCACTTATCTTCTGTCATTCTCAGTTATTTACTTTTCTCTCCCCTCTTCCCATTCTGATTAGCAGAAAATGCCAGCTACACCTCTACCCCAATATAACGTGACCCGATATAACACCAGGGGGGTGGGGCTGTGCACTCCAGCGGATCAAAGCAAGTTCGATATAACGCGGTTTCACCTATAACGCGGTAAGATTTTTTGGCTCCTGAAGACAGCGTTATATTGAGGTAGAGGTGTAGTTTTGACCTTGCCTCTAAAAGCCTGTTTTTCAAATTCACCCTTAACTATGTTGTGTTCTAATTAATTAATTCCTGGTGACTGAATGCATACAATATGGGTTGCAATCAGCTTGATCATATTCTGGGGTATACACAAATTTGTCACCCTCAAATCCGGGGCAACATATCAACCCGTCTTCTGGTCTCATCCAATAAGGATATCCAGTTAGTTTGATAGGATCTATTTTCCCTAAACCTTTGTTGATTAGTACAATTATATTACCTTCCTTTAATTCTTTTATTAATAAAATCCAGTATCGGCTGCTCCATGGCTGGGATGATTTAGTTGGGGATTGGTCCTGCTTTGAGCAGGGGGTTGGACTAGATGACCTCCTGAGGTCCCTTCCAACCCTGATATTCTATGATTCTCTTGCCCAGTATCGATTTCAGACTAACACTCTTGTAATTATCTGGGTCATCTCTTTTACACTTTTTAAATATTGGCACAGCATTAGCTTTATTCCAGTCTTATGGAATTTCCCCAGTGTTCCAAGTCCTAATTAAAATCAACATTAACAGTCCTCCACGCTCCTCCACCCGGTCTTTTAAAAGTCTCGGATTCAAGTTATCTGGACCTGCTGATTTAAACACGTCTAACTTTAATAGCTGCTGTTTAATGTCCTAGTGAGTTATTATTGGAAAGGAAAGAGTCATCCTCATCATCATATAATAGGACTACATCATCTGCTTTCCCCCCAAAAATCTAGGAGAGAAATTCTTATTGAACACTTACCTCTTCAGCATTTTTTGTGTGTGCTAATTCTGCCATTTCCGTCTAATAATGGACCAATGCCATTGTTAGGATTCTTTTTGTACATATACTTTTAAAAACTTCCTTCTGATTTTCCTTGGCTCTGCTGGCCATATATTTCTGTTTGCTTCCCTTACCCATTTGCTACATTTCCAACCTTCTGACTTATATACACTTTCCTATTGACTTCTCCTTTCTTCCATATATTTTGCTGAGAGGGTGTTGGGATTCCTACCAGGGGGCTGTCTCTGGACACTGCTGGAGGCTCCATCTCCTGTACCAAGCTCTGGCTTGTAGGTGTGAGATAAATGCGAAGACCCTGCCTCCCTCTGTCAGCTGGGAGACACTAAGGTTCTCTCTTTCTACTCTACCCTCTGATGCCTCCTGGCTGCTCTAAGCAAGGTGGGGGTGGGACTCGGAAGCTCTTGGAGTTACATGTTCAATTTACATGACCCTGCTTTCCCACAAATAGTGGGGCTGTGACTGGGGCAGCAGGTACTGAGTGTTGGACTCTTGCGCTTTCAGGGGCCAGTGACTTTCGAGGAGGTGGCTGTGTATTTCACCAGGGCAGAGTGGGCTCTGCTGGACCCTGCTCAGAGAGCCCTCTACAGGGACGTCATGCAGGAGAACTATGAGACGGTGGCCTTGCTGGGTAAGTATTCCCCATCCCCTCAGTTATTAGAAGCTGTGGCGTCTCTGAAGAACCTGAGTAACAACTTTATACCTTTACTTATACTACTCCTGGGGGAATTCTGCACCAAAATATTAAATTCTGTGCACAATATTTTAAAATTCTGCATTTTTTTCCTCAAAATAATGCAATAGAATCCAGCTAGTTTCAATTATTTAGGTAATTTATTTAAACTACAATACAATGGATGGAGAATGGGAGCATGGAGCATTGGAGGAAATCACCAACCACCCTCAGTCTAATAGTAATGTAGCTAGTATTGACCCTTTACTTGTAATTATTAGTCAACAAATATATGCAGCCATATGCTCAGTTCATGGAGCATGTTTTGATAGGAAATTTTTTCAGTCCAAAAATTTAGACCAGTTCTAATCAATAAAGCACCATAAGCATTTATAAAGCCATACTGTCCTTTAGAATAAGATTCCTTTACACCACTCATACAAATGTTAAGGCTCCCTTACATTGCCAACCTGTTTTATACTCTTGGGGGAATTCACTAAGAACAATGGGAACAATTCAGAAATGCCCCAAGCCGCTACCCCTACCCCTCCATGCCAAGCATGCTGCAATAGCGACCAAGAGGGACAGAGTTTCTCTCTCTCTCACAAACACACACACACACGACTACCCAGCCCCACACCCTCAGGCGGTGATTTACGTCTCTACCAGCTGCCAAACTGACCTGTCTGCACTGCCAGGGAGTGGGCAAATGACCGCTCTTGTGGCTTCCCTTTGCTTTCCCGTCAATAGCAATTTTTCTGCAGGTAAGCAAAGAAATCTGTGGAGGCCATGAATTCTGTGCACATGCACTGATGCAGAATTCCCCCAGGAGTAATCAAACAAGTTTTGACAAGTTTCCTTGCCCACATTTTTTGGCCTTATCTCCCACTTGCCGGTATAATTTTTTGGACATTTGCATTTGTGGTTCTGTCAGTCATTTAAAAATTGTATTTAAAGTATCCTTACTGGACGCATTAAAAATACATTAATAACTGTAGCTTTTATGCCTTTTCCTCATTTTAAGAAGAAAATATACTGTCTGTACAATTCTGAATTAAGTTGAGTAAATTGGTGTATGACTCATGCATGGCTTGTGTGACAATCAGATGAGCTCCTCTTTTGATAGGAGAGCATATAATGTTGCCATTCAGGACCCCACGGGTGAAGGGAGACGAGAGCTGTGGGAGGGGAGGAGAAGGGGGGGCAGTAGATAATTCTGGGGTGCCAGGACATGGGGGGAGAGTGTGCAGGGTTAGAGCTAAGAAGCAGCAGGGAGGGATGAGGTAGTGAGAGACGAGGAGGGAACACGAGAAGTTCCCAAGGTGCCGCCGGCTGAGAGTAATGGGAAGAAGGGGAGGGGTGTGTGGAGGAAGGGCACCCAGGAAGTGGGCTGGGTGGGTCAGTGGGAGGGAGGAGAGGTTTGGGGATCTAGAGCTGTGGGGGATCCCAGACCTTTAACCCCGAATTCCTACCCAAGCCTTGTTGGTTTAGAGCCTACACTCCAGTTTTATTTCTGTTCAATTTCACTTCATTATACATTTCCCCACCAATTATTATTATTTTAACTCTTGATCTCCCTCTCCTACTCATTACCCCATCCCCATATAACCTCCCCATCTCTATGCACAGCAACCCTGGCCACCGATCCTGAGTCCTTGCTGCATTCCTCCCTCCCGTACCAGGGCCCCTACCCAGGTACAAATGGGCACTTTGTTCATGATGTCACAGGGTGGTAGTGTAGCCTGTACAATTTTTGCACCTATAAGATTACGTATTGGGGTATAACTTGTCCTTGTAGGTGGCTACTCAAAGTTAATTCTGAAGATGAAATTTTGGTGTAACATACACAAATTTTATTTAATACAGACCGTTATAATGGATATAATAGGCAAGGATCAATATACATAATGATTAGAATAAGATAAGTGTAGTAAGGATCCTGCGTTGTTCATACTTATCTTGCATTGTGTATACTTATAACTTATGCACACCACTGAAAACAAAGATCAAGGGGCAAGGGAGCCCATCAGAAGGGAGGCCCTGCTTCAGTTTACACTGTCTCGAGGACCCAACAAACCTGCAAAAATGGTAACTGGGAGAGGTATTTTATCCCCTTCCTTATGGTAATAGGATGGCTATATACCATATCTGCTCCTTTACTCTGATTACAATAATGTCAATAGCTGCCCCTGCCCATATGTGGCCTTTGGGAAGTCCATAATTAAGCATCAAGCATTAATACTCATGATTTACATCTCTTATTTATTAATAATTCCAATATATGAATGCGGTCCAGCTGCTGAGATACTTCATAGCAACCTAATTGCTGAAGCCCGCCCCAAACTTCCTTCTTTCAGTAGCCTGTGGCGTATTGCACCTGTTTGTGGTTACTCGTTAGTTTCTCCAAATGAAGGTGTAAAGTATCTGACCTGGGATTCTCTCCTTAGGCCCATTCAGCTAAATCCCAGATTTTAGCATGATTCCTCCCACAAAGCCTCAGCCTAATAGAACAGGCCTTTAACTGTAGCAAGCTTAAGAAGCCATTTATTTATGTTCACCTGCTTGCCCCTCCACACATGTTCCAAGCTAATAAACCATTCTCTGATTATGCCATTTTACCTCTGGCTAGCATAACATTGCCCACGAGACATGAGACTGGGTCATTAAATCAGGTCAGGGTCAATGGGAGTACGTTTGGGGAAGAGTCTTGTTCTCCCCATGTGCAGCAGCCACAACCTGTCTTCCCTCCAGGCTCCTTGGATCTTTGAGCCTGTCCCTCCTGAGGTTGGGTGGCCCAGTTCTTGTTTCTTACATCCTCCTTTTCCAGAAGAATTAGAGGCTGTTGCTTCTGAATTTTAGGGTTTAATTCCCCAGCCTTCTCCACACGCTGGGGGAGTTTAATTCTCCCTCCCATTACTAGATTTCCTAATTCCCCAAAATGTGCTTTTGCAATATCACAGTTCCAGGGTAATGTAATGGGGGTCAGCACCTGCTTCTCACAAGCACCCCCTCTAGTTTGGTGTGTCCATGGTCTTTAAACCAGTCCCAGACCTGCCATTGGGCCATACCTACAGGACTTCTTCCCTTAGTCTGTTTTGGCCCAAGTCTTCAGCTGGGCCTCCTGCCAGTTCAGTGCCCTTCTGGGGATTTACTGATGTCCAATTGTAGGCCCTGCCCCAGTGGCCTACTGGGAGGGACCCAGGCCTAGCCACTACTCCAGGTTCCAGCCTTCACCAATGTCTTACCCTTAGCTCAGGATTCTTCTAAGCTCAGGCCCAGTAGTCAGCCAGGAGTTCTTACTTGCTCCCCCGGTCTCTACTAGCACTAGGCCATCCACAATACTGCAGTTCCCTCAGCCAGCCACACTTCTCCAAGGAACTGCACTGTTTCTGGTGCTGTAGCTGCTTTTTATAGGGCCTTCCTGGGCCCTGATTGGCTGCTCCTGCAGCCACTCTAGCCTGCTTGGAGGACCTCTCCATTGCTCCTTACCTGGGATGGGTGTGTCAGGACCCTAAGGCTTCCAGCAGGGGGCCTCTGGGCCTAGTCCACCCCATCACAGGTAGCTACACATTTCACCTGCCTCCATGGTCTGCTCAAGGAATGCCCTCTCAGGTATCAGGCCTCTAGACAGCCCCTCTCTATGGGTAGGGACCCACATGCCTCTCCTCTTTGACCAGGGTTTGAGGATTGCAGCTTGTCCTCCACTGTGCTCACTGGACTAACGTCCAGCTCCTGTGCTTTGCTTTCTCTCCAAGGGCTGTGAGATCTGTGTGTGTGATAGAGGTGGGAATTTTGGTAATATTTCTATGACTCCAATACACACCTCAGTTTCCCTCTGTGATTGGTACTGCTGTGATTAGAAAGAGCAGGAGACATCAGGTGTTTTTTCATGTAACTGTCATGGGGTGATATGAATGGGTCATTAGGGCCCTACCAAATTCACAGTCGATTTTGGTTAGTTTCACGGTCATAGGATTTTAAATTTCACAGTTTCAGATACTTACATCTGAAATTTCACAGTGTTCTAACCGCGGGGGTCCCAACCTAAAAGGGGATTATGGAGAACATGGGGAGTGGGGTCACAAGACTATTGTATGGGGAGGTGTGGTATTGCCCCCCTCACTTCTGCCCTGGTGCTGGTGGCGGAGCTGCCTTCAGAGCTGGGTGGCCAGAGACCAGCGGCTGCTGGCTGGGTGCCCAGCTTTGAAGGCAGCACCACCACCAGCAGCAGAGCAGAAGTGAGGGGGGCATGACATGGGTGGGGTCCTCACATTTGGAGGGGTCAGGGCCAGCCTTACGGGTGGGCGACATGGACGACTGCCCATGGTACCGTGGTTGGGAGTTTCTATGGTCACTTCCCAACCGTACACAGCCAGCCCAAGGCCTCTTTAACCCCTGAGTGCCATGGGGCCTGGAGCTGGGGAGGGGCAGGGCTGGAGGCGCCCTGGCCGAGAGCTCCTACTACACGCTCGGCTCCAACTGCTGGTCCTGGCTGGGCTATTAAGGGACGGGTCTTCCTCTTCCCCTGCCGGGGCTGCTTCTGGGGCTGGGTCAGACCCACCTGGCTCCAAGAACCTGCCCCGGCTGCAGGAAGCTCTGCAGCTGCTGGCAGGGAGCCCAGCTCCAAAGGCAGCATCACTGCCAGCAGCAGTGCTGAAATAATCGTGTCATGGTATGGTATCGCCACCTTTCCTTCTGTGCTGCTGCTGGCTACAGCACTGCCTTCAGAGCTGGGTGGCCAGCAGAAGTACAGGTGGAAATACCAAAACACCCCTACAATAGGCTTGCAACCCCTCCCCCCCCCCCCACAATCCCCTGCTGGTTGGGCCTCCCAGTTTGAGAAAAGCTGGTCTCCCCTGTGAAATCTATATAGTACAGGGTAAAATAACACAAAAGACCAGATTTAACGGGGGAGACCAGATTTCATGGTCCATGACGCATTTTTCACAGCCATGAATTTGGTAGTGCTCTAGTCATTAAGGACTACCTGGGACCAACCCACATCAATGGAATACCCAACAGAGACAAGGGAATAATTGCCACCTGTCCATGGGAGGATATCTGCTTGGCTGAGTGAATCATACATGGACTCGTTATGTTTTTGGGAGCAGGAAGAACTGGGCTCGCAGACGCAGGAAGCTCTGCCGGAGCGAAGACAAATGGACAGTCACAGTGAAAGGAAACCAAAGCGTTTTCTACAGCAGCAGGGCTCCAGGGCATTGGCTAGCATGGACTATGTCTTTATCTTTGCTTCTCTGTGCTAATTTAAGGACTTTCCAATGCTGTGGTTCAGTTGACCAATAAACCCTGCTGTGTTTTGAAACTCTGCCCAGTGTCACAGCACAAACTTGCTGAGGTGGATTGCCAGCAAGACTCAACAGCAGCCAGTCCCCAGCCTCTGCCCTGTGCCCTGGGGAGAAGTCAGGTGTCTTCTGTCAGAAACTGGAGGTGTGTGACCCTGTATGCTCCGCCCACACATCATCAGTGCACCCAGCTTCTGCCCTGCACCCTGGGGATGAGTCAGGTGTCTCCAAGTAGAAATCCGGGGGGGGGGGGCATGATCCTGTGTGCCCACCCACTCTCTGACCAGCAATTCTGGATATGAAACGTGATTCCAGAAATGAAGAGTCATTTTGGGGGGGAAATGCAGTAATAGCGGCAATTTCCAGAAAACTCTGTCCCAAGTCATAACATTAAATACAATAGTCTCAAGATATATGCCTGCGTTCATCAGATCTGTCACTCTGCCATCACATAGTTCACTTTGCTGCTGGGCTCTACCCCTTCCTCCATTCTGTGTCTGTCTTCTCTATTTAGATTGTAAATTCTTCAGGGCATGGCCCATCTACTATTCTCTGTTTGTACTGTGCCTAGCACAATGGGGACCCACTGTTAGTTGGTCCTTAGGCACTAAGGTAATGCATATGATTTATTATAATAATAACCCTCCTTCCACTTTGAGCCAAGGAAGCTGGCCTTGGGATGTTACTGCTTAAAAATGAGCTGGGGTTAAAACCCTGGAATATTCTTTGTGACAAGTATTCCACAAATTCCACTGACCTCCCTTGTTTTCTTTGCTTGAGAAGGGTTTCCAGTTTCCAAACCTGATGTGATCTCGCAGCTGGAACGAGGGGAAGAGCCATGGGTCCTGGCCCTCCAGGGCTCTGAGAAAGACGTGCTCCCAAGAGCTGCCTTCACAGGTGAGGAATTGGTTAAACCAATTCAACAACTGTTTGGGAATGCAAGAAACATTTGGGATGCCCTACAAAGACCCTGTGAGCTCTCCAAGTTCAGGATTGTTCCCTGCAGATGTGAAATCATTATGGCAGATGTCACTCATGGCTTCCCACCTATTCTGACTGACAACTGGCAGCAGGTCCCTCCCCGATCTCGCTTTCCCCTGAGTGTTCTGATGAGATGCGGACCAAAACTGATCCCTTCCTCTCTCCTCTGGGGAAGAGTTTGGGGAAAATCAGCTCCTGATAGGTTTGACCTCCCAAGCTTATATTTTTGTTCGTTTCACAATTGTTTTGGCTTGTTCATCCCTTTTTCCATTCCTCTCTCTGAGATTTCCTTTCTCTCTGGTGCAGGGAGTGACCTATGTCTGGATTCTCTCTGTCTCCCATTCAGGTGATGGGCTGGTGAGTGAGAACGAGGAGGAGAAACCCCAGCAGGAAGATGCTGAGCAAGTAAAACCACATGGAATGTTATCAGGAAGATCCAAAGGGAATGTTTCCGGGAGTTGTGAACTCCCAGAAAAAGCAAAAGCCTGTAAGACTCAGCACAGGCCAGAGGAAAACTTCAGTAGCCACTCAGACCTTATTGGAAATGAGAGAATCAACTTGGAAGAAACACGCTATACATGCCATGAGTGTGGGAAAAGCTTCAAAGTGAGCTCAGACCTTTTCACACATCAGAGAATCCACAGAGAAGAGAGACTTTACACATGCTCTGAGTGCGGGAAAAGCTTCAGTCAGAGCTCAGCCCTTATCACACATTGGAGAATCCACACGGGAGAGACGCCCTACACCTGCTCGGAGTGCGGGAAAAGCTTCAATCAGAGCTCACACCTTATCACACACAGGAGAATTCACACGGGAGAGACGCCCTATGGATGTTCGGAGTGCGGGAAAAGCTTCAGTCAGAGCTCAGCCCTTATCACACATCAGAGAATCCACACAGGAGAAACGCCCTACACATGCTCTGAGTGCGGGAAAAGCTTCAATCGTAGCTCGGCCCTTATTAGACATCGGAGAATCCATACGGGAGAGATGCCCTACACATGCTCTGAGTGCGGGAAAAGCTTTGGTCATAGCTCTGCCCTGATCACACATCAGAGAACCCACACTGGAGAGACGCCCTATGCGTGCTCTGAGTGTGGGAAAAGCTTCAGTCAGAGTGCGAACCTTATTAGGCATCGGCGAATCCACACGGGGGAGACGCCCTACACATGCCCAGAGTGTGGGAAACGCTTCAATCAGCGCTCAGCCCTTACCACACATCAGAGAATCCACACGGGAGAGACGCCCTACACATGCCCTGAGTGCGGGAAACGCTTCAGTTATAGCTCAGCCCTCATCACACACCAGAGAATCCACACTGGCGAGACGCCCTACACGTGCCCTGAGTGCGGGAAAAGCTTCAATCGGAGTTCAAACCTTATCACGCATCAGAGAATCCACACCGGCGTGTCATCCTACAGATGCTCTGAGTGCGGGAAAAACTTCAGCCATAGCTCAGCCCTTATTAGACACAGGAGAATCCACACGGGAGAGACACCCTACACGTGCTCTGAGTGCGGGAAAAGCTTCAATCAGAGCTCAAACCTTATCACACATTGGCGAATCCACACTGGAGAGACGCCCTACACGTGCTCTGAGTGCGGCAAAAGCTTCAGTCACAGCTCTGCCCTTATCACACATCAGAGAATCCACACAGGAGAGACGCCCTACACGTGCTCTGAGTGCGGGAAAAGCTTCAGTCAGGGCTCAGCACTTACTAGACATCAGAAAAGCCACATGACACAGTACTATAATAAATCCCTTGACTAGGACTAGCCAAAGATTTTTTTAAAAAAAATAACATTTGCTAATTCCCCCATAATGATTTTTGCACCATCTTCACCGTGGTCTCTGCTCCACCAAGAGTTGCCTGCTTCTGCCTTTTGCAGCTCACCCTTCTTTGGGGTCAGTCCTGTGATCTTTTCTATCAACTCCTTTCCTTTTGAGTCATAGGAGTGTGTGTCCCTCCAGCCAGGAATGTTCATCAGCTCCAGATGGGAGAGAGAGGTTTGATCCCAACAAGCTACACTGAGGCAAAAACTACCTGTGCCTTACGTCCACTAGGACTGTATATAGCGTTGGCTGCTCAAGTTAGTGATCTTGGTGTAAAAAGACAATTTATAGTTGTAGTTCAGATGCCACCCAGGTGCAGTGGTTGGCATTAGCTTTCCCCTTGACCTGACCTAAACTCCATCACTTTTCCTAGTCTAAACAAACCCTGAGCATCATGGTTATACTGTACCTCCATTTCAAAGCAATTGTTAGTCGTTTATTTCTCCCTTTGGGGGCAAATTGTCTCCTTCCCAGTTGCTCTCATGTTGCTTTGGGTTGTGCTGGAGAGCAGATATCTCTTCTACCATTTTCCTCACTTGAAATATATTGAACTATAACAAAGAGCAGGAACAGAGCTAGGGGAAAATGTCATTTTACTTTAGCTTCTGTGTCAACCACAGTGAGTTTATCCTATCCATATGCTGTCTTCCCACCTCCCACTCCACATGATGTGGTGTTCTCTGCTCTCTGTGCTAGGTACCAGACTTTGATTCTCAATCAGTCTTGTTGGGGCTGTGGATTCAAGTATCACAGAGTTGGAGGGGAGATTTGAATGGATCCCAAACACACGGTATTCATTCTGTGTTTCAATTCCTGTTTTTACCTATTTGCAAAGCTGCTTCTGACCTTTTTCCTGCTGATCTGGGAGTTTTGTTTACAGATGGGAAGGTTGGCTGTTTTTCCCTGTTATGATGATGTGAAATGTCTTGTAAAGAACATGACTTAATAATAAGGTGATGCTGTGTGAAGCAGGTTTGAATACATCGGAGGAGAATGAAGTGCAAGATTCTGTTCTTATTTTGAGTCATTAGATGTAACCTGCTTTGGAATTTCATTTTATATGAAACTGAAAGTGTCTTAATTACTCCTGGAGGAATTTGCGCCACTGCACACGTGCAGAATTCATGTCTGGCACAGAATTCCCACAGGAATATCTTACGCTCCTTGGTATTGCAGGTTTCTCTCTTTCCTGAACACCATTTGGTTACATAATTACATCTTAGTTTTCTTTGGCAGCATGTCACTCAGATTTGTTTCGGACTTTGAGACAAGTGACCATTTGCTAAAACAGTAATTTCTTAGGATAGTTTTTTTCTTTCCCCCTCCCCTCCATGATGCCCCGGGGGAAGCTCAAGTGCAGTTAGGTCATCAGGAGAGAATACTCCAATCTGTTGGGCATGCTACCAAGGAGACAGTAGCACTTTTACTTTCCATTCTGAAATGGTGAAAAACAGCAAATCACAAATTGTGGAAATAACTGCATACGATCACACTGTTGTTCAATTGGTTAAGTCAATATTTTTTCTAAAGAGCTGAGAAGACTATTCCCTAGTAAATAACTTGGAACTAGGTGAAATACCCATGTGTTTGGCTCCCAAAGCAGTTGTGGCCCAGGCCCTGCAGGAGGTCACTCCTGGAGATATCTCTTTCCTAATCAGGTGCATGTTGCCTATTATTTGGGAAATGCAATCCCTATGTCGGTAGAAAGGGAGAAAATGGATGACATTTCTGTTGAGCTCACCCTGGGAGATGCTGCAAATGTGTAGAAAATGAAATCAGTGTTGAGTGTGATATACCTGCAGAAAGATACCTATTTTAAATAGATACCTGACATTTGGTGTCTTACGGGGATTCTGAGCCACACCTGTATTTAGTGCCTAGTTTAAATTTGTGCCACCAGATTAAAGAAAGAAATGGGCATTTTGGGGGAGTTATACTTCACTATTTCAACTTCACATGCAGTGTTGATGACAGTGAGAGCAGTTTTGAAGTCAAAACAGGAGTATGTCAGGGGTGTGTCATGTCTGAAATCTTCTTCAACATTGCCATCGGCTGGGTAATGTGGCGTACAACAGAAGACACACCAAGAGGCATTAAATGGACACCCTTCTCATCCCTTGAAGACCTGGACTTCGCAGATGATCTCGCTTTCCTATCACATACCCAAAACCATATACAAGAAAAAAAAATTGACTCAACACCTTCAGCCAGGAAATTGGATTGAAAATCAACCACAATAAGATGGATATCATGACCTTTAATATTGCCTCACCATCACCAGTATGGATAGACGATTATGTTCTCACCAATGTAGAAACAGTCACATACTTGAGTAGCACCATCAGCCAGGGTGGAGAACAAGCCAGGAAGCCAGGAACACCTTCAGGAGCTTAAACATACCGTCTGGAAATCATCAAAATACAACACCAAAACCAAATTCAAGATTTATCAGAGCTGAGTATTTTCAACATTACTTTATAGTGCCGAATGCAGGGGAATGAGAAAGTATGACATGTCCAAACTGTCTGAATTCCATACAACCTGCCTCAGGAAAATCCTCCGTATCTTTTGGCCCAGAACAATCTAAACCCAAGATCTATTGATACAGTGCAGCCAAGAGGATCTGCGCACCATCATTGCCAGGAGGCATTGGAGATAGATTGGCCATGTGATTCGTAAGGAAACTGATTCCATCACCAGAATAGCAATAAGATGGACACCTGAAGGCAAGCGAAAATGAAGCTGCCCAAAAACAACATGTCGAAGAGCTGTGGAAGTCGAGCTGAAAAATCTGGGGCACAGCTCGGGAACTATTGAAAGACTTCCCAGAAACAGACAGGAGTGGAGGAGCTTCCTTCAGAGCCATTCCATGCCTATGGGTCCCAATCTGGCTGCCTTGTTGGACAAGAAGCACTTCCGTGCTGGGCAAATGATGGTAGCCAGTGAGGGAATGAATGTATCAGATTCCAAGTTCAGACTGCAGAATACATAAATGCTGAGTCCTGAGTCTGTGGTTTGGTCTCTTAGTTTTGCTCTAGAGTCTAATGCATTTGTACCACTTCTCCCCCTCCTGCTACTTTGAAAGATTAGAAAGTGTGAAAATAGAGCACAGGTGGTTTTTCTCATGATGCAGCCTTCCCATATAGTGTGAGACCCCTTCCACCCACACTTCTGGGAGGAGACCCAGGGAGAAATGAACTCACAGAAATGGAAGGCTCCTAGGTTATTGTAGAATGTGACTTCACACAAAGCTCACTGGGTGGAAACTGCTCTATAGGTTTATATTTTGTAATCTTAAATTTTTACCAGTGAAAATGGAATTAAACATGAAGTTAATTAGTGTAAAGTAAGAGACTGATTATGTGATAACCTGAATTCTTTTATAAACCTCAAAGTTTTCTTCTTCTTTCCCTGCCGCCTCCTACTATATTGGAAATGGAGGCTAATCCTGAAATTAAAACCTCACTCCAAAGGAATTAGAGTGGGGGAATATGTGAGAGAAATAGCATGTACGAGAATAGAGACCCAGTATAGACTGTAATTATTTCTATTTCAAATGGAATTTATTTTGATAAGCTTTAAAATAAATCTTCTGTTAAGAGGAAAGTTACTTGAGACAAGATGTATAATTTTTTATTCAATTGGTATAACAGTCAGAGTTCCCCAGTTCTCTTGTTTGCAAAGCAAAGATGTCACATCGGGCAGGAGATGGATGCATGACGGTAGCTTTTGTGGGTTGGTTTGTTTGTTTTGTTTTTTTAATTTTGTTTTTGTTCTGTTTTTGCAGCCAGTTATTTTTATGGGTGCTGAGGAGGCCAGCTGTTACAGCACAGCTGTTTAACCCTCAGGCCTGGCTCCGGAATCCTCCCCAGAACTGGCCTTATGTTTCTTTCATTTTTGATATCGTTTGGGGTTCGCATATGCACACTTCATGCAGTTCACAACAATGGATACTTTGAGAAACCTGCTGGGTTAAGCGGGCCTTTTCCAAACTGACAGTGGCTCAAAGTCTGCTTCACTTCAGCTGCATTGGGACACATCTGTATCAAAGGAGTGGTTCACCCCTGATTTGCCCGGAGACCTCAGTGGAAGTGTGGTAAGGTGGGGTAAGCTGGAATCAACAATAATAAAGTTTAAAGGTAAGGGTGGAAGTTCATCACCTTTCAGGTCAACAAGCGTGTTCTGTTCATTCCCTCTGAAGCATCTGGCACTGGTCACTCAGGCAGCACACAAGGTTAGATGGACCATTGGTCTGACACAGTATAGCCAGTCTTACGTTCTTATATTATGTAAGCCACCTAAGAGAGACTAGGATCCCAGGACTGATCCCTTCTGAGGAATGAAGCATGTCGACAGGCTATGCAGCTTTCACTAATCTCCCTGTACCTGAAAAAGCCTGCTAGCCCAAAGTGCTGGGCCATCTATGTCATAATTGGTGTGACGAGGTGGCTAGGATAACCCACACTGAAAATGCCAAAGTCAAGGCAAGATGCAAAAGGAGAGCAGATTTTCCCAAAACTGGTGGTTAACACTGTAGTTAGATTCACCAACCCGTCACAAACGGATCCCCCACACTGGCAATCAAGAAGCTTAAAGAAAAAAAGAAAACCACTCCCTTTATTGCATTCCAGTTCTCTGGCTCCCAATCAGCACCTAGGTCCAGTACAATGAGAAGTTATTTAAAAACTCTTCTCACTATACAAAATGTTCTTCTGATCCCCAAAGGGCCAATCACATTACCAGCTCAGTACTAGTTTGGCTCTTACCCAAAACCATGCTGCCAGCCAATCCTTTAGTATCTAAAATTAAAGGTTTATAAGAAAAGGAAAAGAAGAGTTTTTAATTGGTCAAAGCAATCAGATACATATCACTTCAGAATCCATATGTCAGGTTCTTAGCAGCATTGGTGTGTTTGCTGGCTTGTAGAGTCCTTCTGGAACACATACAACGCTTGGATGGGTCTATCAGTCCTTTGTTCAGAGCTTCAGTTTGTGGAGAAGTTGCTCCAGAGGTAAGAAGCAGGATTGAAGACAAAATGGAGGTGATGCCGCTGCCTTTTATATCCTTTGCCACGTGGCCTGTACATTGTGTGTCCCAAACATAAGCTGACAGTACATGGACATGGAAAAGTACTTGAAGTCCCTTGTACACAGACATGGCCTTACATGTCCTGCTGACTCACAGATGTAACCCCTGCCCTCTCTCAATGGGCTCATTGTCTTTGATGGGCCATTGAGCAGGCTAGATAGTGCTGATGCCCATCTGTCTGGGGATGTCACCCAGAAACAGCAGAAGTTTGATATACAGTTATGCCACAAATATTTATATCTCACAATACAAAGATGACACATACATACAAATATGATTATCATATTTAGCCAACTATAAGTTTCCCACCGATACCTTACATGGCGTATCTTGTAAGATTCATTGCAAGTTTGTAATATTGGTATCAATATTATACATAGTAACTCATATTCCATACAGCGGCACACCTGTTTCCTTAACTTCAGCTAAAGGTCCTGCTCCATGTGTTGGAGGGAGAGGGAGAGGAGACATATTAGCCACACCACAATGTTCCCTCTAATTTTTCCATCCATATGCGGAATGCATTTGTTATGTGCATCACCACCCACCAGTACAAACAAAAAACCTAGATATAATATATTTTTAAAAAGTTATAGGTATGGAAGAAGAAGAAAGAATATTAAAACAAGGGATAATTAGCAAGGTGCACTGCTTAAGATGTTTATTTAATATGAAATCAAATAAAAAGAAAATTAACACTGTAAAATTTTCAATAGCCTTTTAGAATCTTACATGTATCTGTTCCTTTGAGGCATAAAACAAAAATTATCCATTTTCTTGACATAGGAAACAAAATATTTTATCATTAGTATTGATGAATGAAATAAAATAATTGTTACTCTTTTAATTTCAAGCATAAAGAAAGTGTATGTCTCTTGACACATGAAAAAAGTTTTTTATCTAGTGTCTTTATGTATGCAAAAATGTATATATATATAGTCCCTTTTGTTGTGACTTGTGACCCACAAAATTAAACATTATTTTGTTTTGACACATGAAAGAAATTACTTCATTTATTTTCTTGATTTAGGAGACCATTAATCATTGTCACTGGAATGAGACCCCAAGCCAGTAGTTGGCAGGCTACATGATGGGGCAGATACTTGTCGCTGATCGTGAACCTTTTCTGTCTTTACCACTCTTCCAGTGTTTATGTACAGTGTCAAGGTTTACTTCACCACTTGAAGTGCGAAATTTGATCCCCATTAGCATATCCAGGTGATTTTTTTTCAATTTGTTTTGTGATTTAGTTTTGATACTATTCATAAAGTTAAAGCCACGCTAACAAACAGCACTGGAAGCCTGAAAGGTTGCACATATATCCACCAGTTGTGAAACTACACTGTATTCTGCATTTTGTAGACTGAAAGTCACCATTTCCTGGCAATTTGTCATCTTTGCTTCCTGTTTCTCTGCAATTATGTATTTGTAATCATTGTACTGGTTCACAATGAACTCCTCCTTCTCCATGGTGTTTTGGGCAGATGACTTCTCAACTAAGGTCCAAAATTTTTCTGTATTTGTCAACTAGCTTGCTAATGTTTTCTGTGCCAAATTCATAACTGATTTGTTGTGATGAAAGTGAGACCTGTTCATTTAGTTCCTTTTCTGGAAACCTTTTATTCAGACGATCACACAGTAGGATATGAAACTTAGAATAGATTCACCGCTGAATTGTTCATCTGTTCTGCTTCATGCAATTAGATTTTTCACACTGTTGCTCCAAGAGATTGTTTTTCTGAGATACTGTCCTCCACAACTGATTAATAATTTCTTTCAGTATCTTTCCAGGTATGGAAGTAAGGGTTGACTGGCCTTTAATTTACAAAGTCCTTTTCATTCTGCTTTTAAAGATAGATACTAAGTTTGTCCTTCAATCTTCTGGGACCTCGTCCCTCCTCCAGGAGTATTTAGAGATAATTGCTAATGGTTCTGAGATTGCTTCAGCTAGTTTCT